ATTCTACAACAAGACCCTGGTACGTTTTCTGAATTGAAAAATATATATGAATGATTTCTCGGTAGTTTTGCTCTCTCTATCTCTCTCTCTCACACACACACATGCGCACACACACACACACACACTCTAACAAACCAGAACCAAGACTGATTTGAGTTTTCTAACATGAACATGTATGTTCTGATTTTGGGTTTTTCTATCTCTAGGTTTTAGTTTTGAATAGATCCTGCAAATTTGAACGATTTTATCGATTTTTTTTTGCAATGATCTAATTTTGATTTAATCACTTGTAGATTTGCTTTATTTATAGATTTATTTTCATTATAATTTACTAGACCCTTGTAACTTCTTGGATAATTTGGTATTTTTTGATAATGTATAAAAGCAATGCCAGATTGGTTACAATTGGAATTGGAATGTGTGTGGATGCAGTAAAGCACTTGCATTACTCTTTGGTAGTTTTGGGCGAATATCAACCGTACCTTGGAGGAATATGAGAAATTCGATTCACACTAGGGCTAAATCAATTTTCTACATCCATTCTTTGAAGGTAGGATTATCTGAATGTTTTTTTGATCTTCTAATTCTTGCAAACTACTATTTTTTGTCGATGTAATGTAGTTTTGGTTAACAGTTAACATTATACTACAGGTGTCATCTTTAATGGTGATAATGGAAATGGTGCAACTCAAGCTTATTGCAAAAACAAGGTAATACTGATTATTAAAAACCTAGTGATTGATATTTTAATATTTCTTAATTAACAATTTATTTGTTTAGAGTTATAGTTATTTATTCACATTGGTTCTCTTGCTTTGGCATATAATTTTCCCTAAAAAGTACCTAAATAATGAAAATTTGTTTATATGCATGATGTACAACTTCAACATGTTAAGTTGTTTTTTCCAATGATGTTTTTGTTTAACTTATATAACAAACGATTTGCTTGCAGCTTGAAAAGTTGAACTCCAAAGGCTTTGAAATAATGTTAATTACTTTAGGAGGCGTTGGAGCCGGCCGCCAAAGGCTAAAATACAGAAAAAATGATCAACAACAGTCCTTTGTATTTCTTTCATAAATGTTGACTCTAGGGGTAATTTTGCTAATAATTTGTAGTTTTACTGACATCCAAAAACCACAAGTTGGACTTTATGGAAAGGCTTGTGCAGATGTTGGTCAAAATGGTGTAATGGCCTTGTATGACACTTTATTCAGCCAGGTAAAACTGTTATAGCTTAAATACATGTTTAATTTGGTCATTTCTAACACAATGCTCTTTTCTAAATCTCACACTGTTTTCTTTTTCATTTTAGAGAATATAAAAATTATTAATTTGTATCATAATGAAAATTTCAAAGATCAAAAGCAATCTTCCTCAAACTGCTGATATATGGAGTTCTCACCGGAAAATACAACTCAGGGATCCCCGACGACAATTACTACAAGGTAACATCAATTATAACCTACATTTTTTGCTTCGATTCTTTACTCAATCAATTGGTGATGTTGTTCAATGAAGAACCTTTTTTCTATCATGTTCATGTAACAGTTGTATTGATTTTGACTAAAATTCCCCCAAAAAAAGTTTTAACCCCAAAAGTCATGTAATTTGAATTGAAATTGTTTAAGTTCTGTCAATTTATATAATTTCACTCTATTGGTAACCATTTTTTGGTTGGGTTTTCAATGTGTTACTGTTTGCTTTTATCCCATCAGAATCCACTCATTTATTTTTTGTTATCAAGACATCATATTAAGATTGATGTCTCAAGTTTTACTTTTGCTAGGTACTTTAGGTTTTTTGAGTTACGACAGACTATATGTTCAAAAGTTATAAAAAATTTATTGTTTCATATTATTTATGTAATATATGTGCTAAATAACATTGAAACTTTAAAAAACTTGTTAATTACAGATTTGCAAACATTTATTAATCTTTATAGATCTTTTGCACATTGAATAGCATCTCATTGCAGTATAAATTTGTGTTTACATAGAAATATGATAGTTTCCAAGAAGAATACCAGTCGGTCACACAATTACCAAGCGCTTGAAGACATGAAATTATGGGTGTTATTATGCAGGGTAAAATGATATATAAGGTTCCCAAAACCAAAAACAAAGTCATTGTGATTATGATGCTTAAATTACCATGCCAACGTTTTGAACAACAGACCGGTGAAAATGGAGAAAATATGAATAAATATGATTCAAAACTAATAAATTAAGTAACATCCAATAGTAGATTGATAAAAGTAACATAATGAATGTGCTTTAAAAGTTGTAATCAATAATATAGATGTGAAAACAATTATTTTTACATAAAGTCATGTTTTGTCCGTAATTACTAAAAATCTCCTTATACTAATCATTTCGTAACTTAAAAATTCAACACATGTGTTACATGGTTTAGAATTAAAAAATAAAACCGTAGTATTGAAAATATTATTTTATTAAGTATATATTCGGTACATCATCTTCCTCCCTTGAATAAATAAATATATAATTACTACAATCTAATTACTTGAAATGACTAAGATGCCCCTTATCATAAAGTTAGTAATTGACAATGCATATGTAACAACTTGAAAGTGATCTCACTCATTCTTTTGCCTGCATACCACATCAACAAAAAAAACCTTGAATTCCCTAAATTTATAACGTTTTAAGATCTTATAGAGTACAAATTTCCCCTTAATCAAGAAATGTAGTTTGCTTGTATGTTTCTACGAGTACAAGGAAAAAAATGAAAATTTGTCATAAGAAAAACCATTATAACCCCAACCCTATGCCATAACCTTATTTGAATTGGTGGTTATCTGAAATACGATTTGATTTTATTACAAATAACCGTTATAATTGGTGTTTTTAAGAAAAAACAATGTACTCTCAATATTAAATTTTAAAATAAAAGAAAATGAAGAATGCAGAGGCAATTTAGGTATATTAGTATATTGTTTTTATTTAATCCTATTTTTTCTGTTAGTAAAGAACAACGAATATTAGCCTAGCTTTTAAACTTACATTGGATTAACATGAGTTAAAGGGGAAACAAAATGGTCAAAATGATAATTTTGAAATATATATATATATATATATATATATATATATATATATATATATATATATATATATATGTGTTGATTGTTTCATATCAATGTATATTTATTTTTTATGTTTAAATTGGCAAATTACGAAAAAATATTTTTGAATCAAAATAAAGTCATTTTGACTCCAATTTTTCTTCAACTTAACAGTTTAGGAAGTATAATACCAAAAAGGAACTATGAGTAAAGGTAAAAAAAACAAGCGTAAAGGTAAAAAAAACAAGCAATTGTACTTTGTTGTTTGTGTGTTTCTATGAGTAAAGGTAAAAAAACAAAAAACAAAAGGAAATTTGTCCTTATAAAATTTTAAAGTAAATAAAAGCGGAGAATGCAGGAGCAATTTGGATATATTGGCTTATTATTTTATTTTATCATATTTTTCCAGTAATTAAATAACAAACATTAACCAAGCATTTAAACTATATATTGGGTTGATATGAAGAAAAGATCAAAATGACAATTTTGAACAAATTTTTTTTTTTATTTTAATTGTTTCATATCAATGTAAAGCTATTTTTTATGTTTAAGTGGACAAATTACTTAAAAAAACAATAAAAATGATCAAATTTGACAAAAATGTATTTTTGAGTCAAAATAAGATCATCTTGACTCCGAATTTCTTTAACCTATCGGTTTAGGAAATATAACGTTAAAATGAGACTTATTTTAAAAAAAATAAATTTTGATCTCAATATTAAAATTTTAAGGTAAACACAAATGAAGGTTGCAGGGGCAATTACGGTTAACAATGTAATTAGTTAGTAAATTTTATGTAATTTAAGAAAAAGGAAAAATACCACAAATTGCCAAATGGAAAAAAATTAAATGAAAATAACAAGAAAAATTCATATGACATAATGCTTTAGAGGATTGAAAGTAACAAAAACATTATTAGGGTAAATTATTTATCACTTATTGTATCGGGTTCCATCATATGTTCAAAACCATGAACTTTACTTTCTTTAGTTGTTAAATTTTGTTATCCTTTTTTCATAAAATTAATAGTTAGTTAATGTCACTTATTTTGCTTTGATAATCATTTAGATAGAAAAGAATAGCTTAATAATATATATGATGTATTTTTGTCATTTTATATTTATATTTAAAAGAGTAATATATTTGTCAAACATAATGAATGTTTTAAAGTTGTTTTACTCTAATAACGTATAATACACAAGTTATGAATATTGTTTTTCCTTTTCAGTCGTGGTTTCTACGGGTTTAAATTTATTATAATTCGTTTCACATAAATAATACGTTGCATTATATAAACTCGTGATTTTTATAAAATAAGTGAATTTACATGTGTAATTAAATATTTACAATTACAAAGTTATTATAAAAAAAAAATACAATATTACAATTCATAAGTTTTTCTAAATTAATAATATATTATTTTATTATATAATATATTTTTTTAATTCTATTTAAAATTGTTACCCATGGTATCAAAATAGCATGTGACAACAACACAAAAGTGTACCGGACTTGTTTTTATTGTTAACGAATACTTTGGATGTTTGCTTAGTAATCAAACAATTAAAAGGCAACAAACAAGGGTTTAAATGTAATTACGTCATAGGTGAGCAATCCATTGATATCAACTAGGGCAAGTGAGTGACACGCTTCACCGCTTGCGAGTGGTAGTGACCTTGATTCCAAACCTCAACTCACCTTGAGTTAAACCCAACCTATGTATCCCCTTCCATTTGTCAACTCTCTTTTTAGTATTATTTTTTTGAAAAGAAAAAAGTCAACTTTCGCTTTAGAAACAGCAGTGAATGAAAATGGCGTTAGAGAAAAAAACAGAGGATTTTAATACTTTCGAAGAAGTAAATGCCCACAAAAGTTTGTTGTTTTATCATTTCAAAAATCTCCGCCCTTAAAGTCAACCTCTCTCTCTCTCTCTCTCTCTCTCTCTCTCTCTCTCTCATCCATTCTTGCTATATAGCAGAGGATTTCATAAAAATTGTTTTGATTTGATCAAAGGATTTGAGGAATTGTTTTGATTTGATTTCTTGAAATTTTACAATGGGAAACGGGGTCGGGAAACTGACCGTATGTTTCACCGGAGTAAACGTCGTTCACAGGCGAAAGGACGTCACAGCTGTCGTCTCCGACCCATTAGATGATCTTGGTCACTCGTTCTGCTATGTAAGACCTCAACAATCGTGCATCTCCTCCTCCAAAGTCCACTCCGCTGAAGAAACAACGACTTTTCGGTCAATCTCCGGCGCTTCCGTGTCCGCCAATACCTCTACACCTCTCTCAACTTCTCTCCATGACGTCTACTCATACAACACCATTGATAAAGCTTCCGCTTTCGAAAGCTCCACATCTTTTGCATCAATCCCTCTGCAACCTTTACCTCGAAACTCGTTAAATTCGGGTCCTTTACAGTGTTCAGGTCAAGTTCCGTATTCGGGTCCTATCGAAAGAGGCTTCCTTTCTGGCCCGATTGAGCGTGGGTTCCAATCGGGTCCACTTTTTTCCGGCCCGCTAGAGAAGGGTGGTCAAGATCAGTTCCAGAGAAGCTATTCTCAAGGGGGTTTCGGTTACAAACGAAGATCAAGAAAAGGGTCTTTGATTCGTGTTATACAAAGGGCGATTTCAAGAACTTTTGTTACCCGTGGGCAAAATTCCATTGTTGCACCTGTTATCAAAAGTGTCAGCTCTTTGAAACAACACGATTGGACTGGTGGGTCTTCTGAGAAAAACAATGAATTGACTATTAGCAGTGCGAATTTGAGCAGCGAAGCAAGTTTTCTAGACGATGACGAGTGTTTTACTCAGAGTCAGAATCTTCAATGGGCGCAAGGGAAAGCTGGGGAAGATCGAGTACATGTTGTAGTGTCTGAAGAACGAGGATGGGTTTTTGTCGGGATTTATGATGGATTTAATGGTCCTGATGCTCCTGATTTTCTCTTGTCGAATTTGTATCAATCTGTTCATAAAGAACTCAAAGGTTTGTTATGGGATGATAAACTTGTTTCATCAAATTCTAGTTCTTCGGTGCAATCCCTGGAAGCTGTTGATTCTCATGTTGATGATCAACTTGAAAGAAATCAGTCTCCGAAGTCTGTTGATCAACAAGAAACTTACCCGTCCGTAACCGAGGATTTCCATAGCTCACGGAAAACGAAGAGCAAGAATTTAAAGAGTCGGAATCGAGGATCTGAAAATCAAAGATGGTGGAAGTGTGAATTTGATCGCGAAAGGTTAGAACTGAACAGGAGATTAAAGGAATATTTAAACTTTAATTGTCCGGATTCAACCAATCATTCTGAGGTTTTGAAAGCTTTATCTCGAGGGTTAAAGAAAACAGAAGACTCCTTTTTAGACATTGCAGACCAAATGCTCGATGAAAATCCTGAACTAGCTTTAATGGGTTCTTGTGTTCTTGTTATGTTAATGAAAGGAGACGATGTTTATGTGATGAATGTAGGCGATAGCCGTGCTGTTTTAGCCCAAAAACTCGAGCCCGATCTCTGGAGGCAAGATCTTGAAAGGATTACCGAAGAAACTTTATATGATCTTGAAGTTTCAGATGCTGACAATGGCACCACAAGCCCAACCCTAACCGCTTGTCAGCTTAGCATAGATCATAGTACCTCAATCGAGGAGGTAAAAAAAACATTACAACTTTAATAAGCATTCGTATAACCTTAAAACAATCATCTTCTCACGATTCGTATAATCTTTGACTTTTTGTAGGAAGTTCAAAGAATAAAGAGAGAACACATGGATGATCCTTGTGCAATGATGAATGATCGAGTTAAAGGCTCACTAAAGGTCACTCGAGCTTTCGGTGCGGGTTTTCTCAAGCAGGTAACCGATAGTCCCTAACATTTTCTTGATTTTAACCATCGAAAGATTACACTTTCTTGGACTTCTATGATTGATATTAAAGTTATTCCCTAGTGTGTATAATTGTAAAAATTGTTAAGGGTTCAAATCCCAACGTGAATTGGGCTTTTTGTGGTTATGCCAACCATCTAAAGTATACCTGAGTTACATCTGATATGACGCTCCCCGAGAGGGGCAGGCTGAATTAGCTAAGGGGTTGTTCCTGAAAGAATAATTTTTTTATGGAAACATATAGAGATTACATTTTCTTGAAGTTTAATGATTGATATTAAAGCATAAAGTAGTTTAAACATCTAACATCTTGTTTTGTTTGTTTTCCGCAGCCTAAATGGAACAACGCGTTACTAGAGATGTTTAGGATCGACTACGTAGGAACTTCTCCGTACATAAACTGTGTTCCAAATCTTCACCACCACAAATTAGGCCCGAGAGACCGATTCTTAATACTCTCTTCAGATGGACTATATCAATATTTCACTAACGAGGAAGCAGTTTCTGAAGTCGAACTCTTCATTCAATGGTCGCCCGAAGGAGACCCTGCTCAACATTTAGTTGAGGAGGTTCTGTTTCGGGCAGCCAAGAAAGCTGGTATGTATCTAGACCGTTAAAAAAAGTCCACAACTATAAAATTTGTTCATTTTGTAAAAAATTGAGGTTTTTCTTTTGTAGGTATCGATTTTCATGAGTTGCTTGAAATACCACAAGGTGATCGAAGGCGATACCATGATGATGTTTCGATTATTGTTATTTCACTCGAAGGAAGGATATGGAGATCGTGCGTGTAATTAAACGATATAAAAATTAAACGACGATAAATAAATATATATAGAGAGAGAAACTCTGATCGGGTTGCTCCAATTTTTGATATATATTTTTTTCTTCTATTTCAGAGAAAAAAACCAAGAAATGTTAGTTATAAAGGTGTAAAAACCTTGCCCCATGTTGATTAATACAAATATTCTATACAAAAAGATGTTTATATATTGGAAGTCAAGGATTTAAAATTATGAATTTTGACATTTTTAACAAAAATGTCAAACTTTCTAAGTCTTTGCTTGGGACCGGAATTGGTATTGGAACATGAACAAATTAAATTATAATAATGTGTTTCATCTAACTTTCGATCTCTCTAGTAGGTAGAAAAGAAATAATGTCTTTCTCATCATTATCATAAAAAATAGTTCAAAAAAAACTTATTAAGTCTTGTCTAGTGTAAAGATACACACTTATATAAGTAGCACAATTTACACAAATTGGGAGAAAAATGGGTTTATTGATTTTAAGTTCTTAGCGTTTTACATAAAAGAAAAAACAAAAAGAAATACACGTCAGCAATTTTCAGTGTTATTTTTGGTAAATGGGACGTAAGAATGTGTGCTATGTGGGTTTATAAAACTCCATGCATTCGTTGAAAATCTTTTGTGGGGTTTCACGATGATCACACGTCGTTTTTCGTTATCGTCATCTTGTTTTCCAACTTCTAACCGATTTCTGGGGTTTTAAGGAGAGGAAATAAATGCAAAGTGCAGGTGAGAGTTATTGTTTTGAACTAACAATTAACAATTTCAGGTACTCATATTGAGTCAATCAATTGCCAGTTCATTACGAACGTACGTTGGTGTCACAATTCAAACCACAGACTCCTTATCTTCATGGCTCATAAGGCGGCCGAATTAAGTGCATCCATGGATTTTTGTCTCTCATTTCAAGACCAGGGAGTTAAGAGCTGTTAGATTTTAGACCCCAGTTAAAGAAATACAGTTAGATCGAAAGAAAGTGATTATATATAAAATTTTAAGACCTTAAATATATAAATCATGAAGTAGGTTCGCATCATTGCATGATGGTGTCTTTCTTTAAGACAAACTGACATATTCTATAATGGTTTTAGTTTTGCAACCAATCAATATAATTTTTTTATAATAATGAAGTCCAAGGTTGTTTAAATTCCTTTTGTTGATTCGTTTGAGGGTTAAATGCCATCACTCATAGTGAATATGATCCATAAGTTTACCCTATTCTTCAACGTGCAGTCATTTTCTTTATCTCCCAACTCTCAATACTCAACCACAGAATAACCTTAAGTCTAGGAATTAATTAAAGTTGGTTAGTGTCATTTCCCTACTTAACTATTGGGTATGATTACAAATAATATTACCACTAAGATGTGATGGCCACGGCCACTACCATGATCATTGCTAAAAAAAAGCTTTCAAACTCACCGGATTCCAGGTTTTCAGAGGTGTTGGTCTGTGCGCCTTCGTTGCTACTTCACGATCTCGCGTAAACTTGGACATAATGCTTTAGAGATGATGTTGTTTCGATGAACGTGTATTTTTCTATAATGAAAGCTCAAATAGCTTATGGAATGTTGTTTTGAATCAAATTCCGTAGCTATTCTGCTACAGAATGGTTAGTCGTAGCTATTTTGCTATGAAAATGGTTATATAATTACATTCCGTAGGTAAATTCAGAATATGAAACTTCATTATGGAACGAAAGATCGTAGACATTCTGCTATGAGGCTGATATATAATCAAAATTCGCTAACTTGCTACAAAGTTTGTCACAAAATTAAAACCTATAGCTTTAAGTGGTTAGTCGTAGCTATTTTGCTATGAAAATGACTATATAATTGCATTCCGTAGCTAAATTCAGAATATGAAACTTCATTATGGAACAAAAGATCGTAGACATTCTGCTATGAGGCTGGTATATAATCAAAATTCGCTAACTTGCTACAAAGTTTGTCACAAAATTAAAACCTATAGCTTTAAAAATACTTAAAAAAAATGTAATGTTAGATGTAAAGTCTAAATTGTAATATCAAATAATATAGCTAGGATGGTTTTGAGATCTAGTTTCTTGTGTAATTTGCTCCTATTGATAAGAACCTTGGCTAAGTTGTCTATATTTCTCCGCTTTCTCCTTTTGGTATTCATCATATGGCTTCCACACCTTCTTTGGGAGCCTCCAATCATTGCCGTATTTGTCGTCGCTTGAATAACATATTTAAACCTTCTTATTATCATTCTCACCAAAGTCACAGTCTTTGGTCAAGTGAGGATGAGTAGTGTAACACCCCGACTCCCAGGTATAAGTTTTAAAGCACTTTGTACATGTTTATAGACTTACTCGACGAGTTGGTTGCCCCCAACTCGTCGTGTAGAGGCGGGTTAGCCCGTGTGGATTATTGGACCTACTCGACGAGTCGGAGGACCTGGACTCGACGAGTAGGAGCTGAAAGATGAAACCCTAATTTTTAGGGTTTGCACCCTATTTAAAGGATCTTAAGCCCTCACCTTCAGTCCCTTACCATCTCTTGATGGTCAGAAGAAACTCTAATCGTGATTTTACTCCAATTTGTGTGTTAAAGAGCTTAGAAAGTGGTGTTTAAGATGAAGGCGTGAAGTTTAAGGAACTTGGAGCAAAGGAGAACTTGTGAATCTGACTGTAACACTGTAAATTTTCAACTAAAATTTTCATTTTCAAAATCATATAATTCCAATTATCACATTTCAGAAACCACAATTGTTTAAATTATCACAAATCACAATTCAATAATTTTTTGATAATAATCCAGGATCCTCTAAAACATAAACTCCATCTCGTGTGTACAATCAAGTCGGCGCCTTCCCGTGATCTTGAGAAGTACCTGAAACACATATCACACAACACAGTTAGCACAAAGCTTAGTGAGTTCCCCAAAATATTACACAGATATCGTTAGTCTCTCATGGCTATATCTCAATAAAGACCCTCCGGTCAATGTGTCTCAGTGGAGACCCTCCGGTGGCCAACTCGGGTTGGACCCTCCGGTCCTAACTCCATAAAGCTCAAAATAGGATATAACATAAATCACAAAGACATAATGCATGAAATCACATAACTCAATATAAGCATACAAGACCCTTCGGTCACACAATGCTACCACTTAGGTAAGTATAGTGAGAAGACTCACCTCGAAAGTAAGCAAGTAGACCTAGCACCCCACGAAAAGTCTAGACTCCGCCTACATAATATAATTATCTCATAAGCAATTTGTAATAACCACTCCGCGATGCTAAACTAACTTCTCTACTAAATCTCAAAAGGGTGAAAAGACCATTTTACCCATTCATGGCCTCTAAAGTCCACAGTTGATCAAGCCTTAAAAGTCAACGCTCAAGTCAACAGTCCATGTTGACTCAACTCATCGAGTGCATCTATGTGACTCGTCGAGTTCCTTCGTATTCTCAGAAATATCGTGAAAGTCCAACTCAACTTGTCAAGTTGTCTCATCAACTCGTCAAGGTACAACGTGTCCAGACTCATCTAGGAAAACCCTAACTGACTCGTCAAGTCCCTTCAGTCTATTTTCTCATTCATATATTTTTGGGTAGAAATGATGTCTCATACTCTGGATCTAACCTTCTAAGGCTCACTTATCACGTAAAGCTGCAAGCTTTACGTTCATGCATGCTATCTAGGGGCTCAAAATGCCAAAACAAGCTCCATAAAGGGTTTCATGCATGGAGACTTGCCTAAAGCGGGATAAAGCTTGGATCTTTGAGCTCATGGGACCTCTTTTTGTCCAGATCTGGAGTCTCAACTCCATGACAAGCTCCAACAACTCAAGAACCACAAGATAAGGGGAAAAAACCCTAAAACTCCCTAGAAGGAGATCTATCAAAAGAAATGCTCAAGGTGGTAGCTTTTTACCTATAAACTAAAGCTAGCACAGTAAAAACACTTGATCCAAAAGCCTCTTCTCGTTCCAAGGCTTGATGCTCTTCAATCCTCTTCCAAATATGCACTAGAACACCAAAAGTTAGTTTCTCTCTCTCTCTCTCTCTCTCTCTCTCTCACACACACACAAGCAAATACACACGATTAGGGTTTCTCACAGGGTATTAGGGTGAAAAAGGTGGCGGAAATGAAGGCTTGAGGTCCTTTAAATAGGACACAAACCCTAAAAAATATGGTTTTCTCACTCAGCTCCTACTCGTCAAGTTGGGGTCCTCCAACTCGTCGAGTAGTCTCTACAAATCATGTGGTCAATTACTCCTCTACTCAACGAGTTGGGGCATTTAACTCGTCGAGTTGCTCTGACATTATGAATGTAAAATAATTTAATATTATACCTGGGAGTCGGGATGTTACAATTCTCCCCTACTAGAATCAGACTTCTCCCTCGAAGTCATCCTCTGGAAACAAATTTGGGTACTGCTCTCGCATCTAAAACTCCAGCTCCCAAGTCCACTCGGATCCTTTTCGATGCTGCCACCGAACCTGAACCAAGGGCACCTCTTTATTCCTCAGGACCTTCACTTTCCTATCCATGATCGCTATTGGTATCTTAATGTAGTTCAAGATTTCATCAACCTGAATTTCCTCTAAGACCACTACCATCTCATCAGCTACACACTTCTTCAGATGGGACACGTGGAAGGTGTTATGAATCTGGCTCAGCTCTGCAGGCAGCTCCAACCGATAAGCTTCCTTACGTACTCGGGTGATCACCCTGAAAGGACCAATGTATCTAGGGCCCAACTTGCCCCGTTTCCTGAATCAGATCACCCTTTCCATGGGGATACCTTTAGGAGGACAAAATCTTCGACCTGAAATTCTAGCTCTGAACGGTGCCGGTCGGCGTAACTCTTCTGACGACTCTAGGCCATCAGTAACCTCTGTCTGACCTGCTGGATCTACTCTGTCCTCTTGAGCATTATCTAAGTGTCCCCATCACTCTCTGCCCTACCTCTCCCTAACAGAAGGGAGTCTAACACCTACTCTCATATAAGAGCTCAAAGGGAGGCATATCAATACTAGAATGATGGATGTTGTTGTATGAAAACTCAGCCAATGGCAAGTAAGTGTCCTAACTTCCACCAAAGTCCATAACACATGCATGTAGTATGTCCTCAAGCGTCTGAATTGTCCGCTTGTTCTGCCCTTCTGTCTGTGGGTGATATGCGGTACTGAAGTTCAACCGGGTACCCAACTCCTCATGAAATTTCTTCTAGAAACTGGAAGTAAAACGCACATCTCGATCTGACACTATCAATGTCGGTACCCCATGCCGCGCTACCACTTCTTGAACGTAGATTTCGGCCAATTTCTCAGCAGAAGAGCTCTCACTGATAGCCAAAAAGTAAGCACTCTTCGTCAAGCGGTCCACAATCACCCATACCGCATCAACACCTTGTGTGGTCCTCGGTAATTTGGTAATAAAATCTATGGAAATCTTTTCTCACTTCCACTGGGGAATCTCTAGGAGCTGCAACGGGCCATGTGGATGTTGGTGCTCCACCTTCACCCGACGACAGGACAAGCATCTATCGACTACCCATTCCACATCTCTCTTTATGCAGGGCCACCAATAATCCTTCTTCAAATCCAAATACATCTTGGTGGCCCCCATATTGATCGAGAATCTCGACCTATGGGCCTCTTCCATCAAAGTACCTCGAGCTCCACCCGAATATATGATATGTGTATTTTTAGATATATTTTTATGCACTTTATCTTAATATTTTGGCCTTATTTATTCTATTTTAGAAATAAAGAGTACTCATAATGCTTTGAATTATGTTTTGCAGC